ATGCGTTTCGCATTTTGAAAATTATCGTACTTAATGAGCTTACCACACTCACTTTTTCCTGAGTGCCACGGCAGCTATACAACTGTTGTCACCACAGACTAGATTTGTTCTCAACCCTGGAGGTTTGAATAAGGATTTAAAAAAAAAAAAAAATCTGCACAGAATCCACACAAGACATTGGAGAAGTTTTCTTGAGCCTCGAAGATGATGAGGCTGGATTATCCAAGACACAAAAAAATACTTCAGTAAGGGCCTGGTGCAGTGGCTCTTGCCTGTAATCCCAGCACTTTGGGAGGCCAGGGTAGACGGATCACCTGAGGTCGGCAGTTCAAGACCAGCGTGGCCAGCAGGAGAATCGCTTGAACCCAGGAGGTGGAGATTGCGATGAGCCGTGATCGCGCCATTGCGCTTCAGCCTGGACAATAAGAGAGAAACTCCATCTCCAAAAAAAAAAAAAAAAAAATCAGTAGATAATGAAGAAGTACTAATGACTTGGAAACTGCCTAGAAGTCTATATTTATTGGTTTCTGGAGAGGGAATCAGGAATTTCTTCCCCATCATCTAGAATGCTGGGGCCTGCCTGTAGCTCTGACATGTTACAAGCTATAACATGTAGCCCTACTCTTTCATCACAGATCCTTTCCTTAATAGGAACTGGAACACGGGTCCTGTTTTTTTAACGTAAGATTATATCAACTAGTATGGTAGTAAATAGCACTTCCCTTATTATGGTTTTTGATATAAAATATATTTTTTATTTTATTTTGAGACAATCTCGCTCTGTCGCCCAGGCTGGCGTGCAGTGGCGCGATCTCGGCTCACTGCAAGCTCCGCCTGCCAGGTTCACGCCATTCTCCTGCCTCAGCCTCCCGAGTAACTGGGACTACAGGCGCCCGCCACCTCGCCCAGCTAATTTTTTTTTTTTAATTTTTAGTAGAGATGGAGTTTCACTGTGTTAGCCGGGATGGTCTCAATCTCCTGACTTCATGATCCGCCCGCCTCAGCCTCCCAAAGTGCTGGGATTACAGGTGTGATATAAAATATGTTTTTAATTATAATGTGTATGTGGTGAGTTCAGTTGCTAAGTTGATTCTTTGTAACTTAAGAATTCAAAAAAGAAACAGTAGTAACACTGACATCAGATGCGAATAGGTCAAAACCATAGATTGAGAATGTTTTAAATTATATTTTTCTCATTTAATGTGTACATTAAATGATTATATATGGATCAGTTTTTTTGTTGTTTTTGTTTTGTTTTGTTTTGTTTTTGAGAAGGAGTCTCACTCTGTCGCCCAGGCTGGAGTGCAGTGGCATGATCTCATTCATTACAACCTCTACCTCCCGGGTTCAAGTGATTCATTCTCCCACCTCAGCCTCCCAAGTAGCTGGGATTACAGGCGCATGCCACCAGGCCCAGCTAATTTTTGTATTTTTAATAGAGATAGGGTTTTGTCACGTTGGCCAGGCTGGTCTCAAACTCCTGACCTCAGGTGATCCACCCATCGCAGCCTCCCAAAGTGCTGGGATTCTGTTTCTTAAGTTTACTCAAAAGGATTTTCAGATTGCAGTTTATTATGGTGTGTTTCACAGATGCTCTTAGAACTAGGGGTTAACACAGCCCATGTTTCAGGCCAGGAACTGAATGATACTTTGGCCTTTGACACCATGTTTTCATGAATGTAATATGGTAAGACTGGTGGCTGAAGGCTTACGTTTACTTCATTCAACAAGTATTAATTGACTGCCTACTATGTGCCAGACACATAGTAATACAGGCAGGAGAGAATTGCTGGTGGCTTAGAGCAGGTAATAATGGTAGCGTTAGAAGTGGTCACATTCTGGATATGTTTATTTTTGTTTTTGTTTTTGTTTTTTTAACTTGAGGTAAAGCTTCCATAAAACTAATAATTTTGAAGTGAATAATTCAGCTCTAGTACATTCACAATGTCATACAACCGTTGTTTCTATCTAGTTCCAAAACACTTTCATCACCCCAAAAGGGAACCCTCTACCCATTAAGCATTTGCTCCCCCTTTCTCTCTCCCCCCTGACTCCTGGCAGCCATCCATGTTGTGGCTCTATAGGTTTACCTATTTTGGATATTTCATATAAATGAAATTGTATAGTATGTGACCTTTGGTGTCTGGCTTTATTCACTTAACATAATGTTTTTGAAGTTCATCCATGTTGTAGCATGCATCAATACTTCATCCCTTTTGTGTTGACTACTACTACATTGTTTGTATATACCACAAATTTTTTACCCATTCATCTGTTGATGAACACTTGGGCTATGCCTGCCTTTTGGTTATTGTGAATAGTACTGGTATGAACATATGTATAAATGGTATAAATGTATCTGTTTGAGTACTGGTTTTCATTTCTTTGGGGGATATAGTTAAAAGTGGAAATGTGTAAGTCATATGGTAATTCCGTGTTTAACTTTTTGAGGAACTGCTAAACTGCTTTTCATAGCAGCTGCATCATTTTACATCCCAACAGCAATGTACAAAGCTTGCAGTTTCCCCACATCCTCACCAATACTTGTTACTTTCCTGTTTTTTTTCTTTCTGTTAATTATTATAGCTATCCTAGTGGAGTATGAAGTTGTACCTCACTGTGATTTTGATTTTGATTTTTCATTTTCATTTCCCATTTTTTGAGACAGGGTTTCACTTTGTCACCCAGACTAGAATTCAATAGCATGATCTCAGCTCACTGCAACCCCCACCTCCCGGGTTCAAGCGAGTCTTCCACCTCAGCCTCCCGAGTAGCTGGGACTATAGGCATACATCACCACGCCTGGCTAATTTTTTGTATTTTTCGTAGAGACAGAGTTTCACCATGTTGGCCAGGCTGGTCTTGAACTCCTGACCTCAAGTGATCTTCCCGCCTAGGCTTCCAAAGTGCTGAGATTACAAGCCTGAGCCGCCACACCCAGCCGAGTTGTAAGTTTTGATGAAATTCCAGTTTACCTATGTTTTTATTTTGTTACACATGTTTTTGGTGTCATAGTGCAGAATCTGTTGCCTAATCCAGAGTCATAAAGATTTATCCCTGTGTTTTCTTTTCAAAAATTTTTTTTAGATTTTCTTTCTTTATTGAGTCAGGATCTTACTCAGCCTGGTTGAGGCTGAGTAAGGTTGTCCAGGCTGGTCTTGAACACCTGGGCTCAAGCAATCCTTCTGCCTTGGCCTCCCGAAGTGCTGGAATTACAGGTGTGAGTCACCACACCCGGCCCCTGTGTTTTCTTCTAAAAGTTTTTAGCTCTGATATTTAAGTTGTTGACCCATTTTGAGTGCATATATGGTATGAGATAGGAGTCCAGCTTCATCATTTTGCATATAGATATTCAGAAGTCCTAGCACTATTTGTTAAAGAGACTATTCTTTACCTATTTTTTTTTCTTTTTTTTTTTTTTTTTTTTAGACGGAGTCTCGCTCTGTCACCCAGTCTGGAGTGCAGTGGCCAGATCTCAGCTCACTGCAAGCTCTGCCTCCCGGGTTTACGCCATTCTCCTGCCTCAGCCTCCCAAGTAGCTGGGACTACAGGCGCCCACCACCTCGTCTGGCTAGTTTTTTGTATTTTTTAGTAGAGACGGGGTTTCACCGTGTTAGCCAGGATGGTCTCGATCTCCTGACCTCGTGATCCGCCCATCTCGGCCTCCCAAAGTGCTGGGATTACAGGCTTGAGCCACCGCGCCCGGTCTTCTTTACCTATTTAATGGTCTTGACATTCTTATTGAAAAATCAGTTGACCATAGGTATATGGGTTTAGCTTGGGGCCCACAATTCTATTTCACTGGTCTGTATGTCTGACCTTATGTCAGTACCACACTGTTTTGAATACTGTAGTAAATTTTGAAATCAGAAAATATGAGTCCTTCCACGTTGTTGTTCTTTTTTAGTATTGTTTTGGCTCTTCAGGACGTTTTGCAATTCCATATAAATTTGAGGATCAGCTTTTCAGTATCTGCAAAAATGCAATTGGAACTTTGACAGAAGGGCTGGGCATGGTGGCTTAGGCCTGTAATTCCAGTGCTTTGGGAGGCTAAAATGGGAGGATCACTTGAGCCCAGGAGTTTGAGCCCAGGAGTTGAGCCCAGGCAACATAATGAGACCCCCATCTCTATAAAACATTAAAAAATTAGCAGGGTATGGTGGTGCACACCTGTAGTCCCAGCTACATGGGAGGCTGCAGCAGGAGGATCACATGAGTCCAGGAGTTGGAGGCTATGGTGAACTATGATTGAACCACTGCTAGATTATACTCCAGCCTGGGTGATAAAGCAAGACTCCACTCCCCACCCCCAACCAAAAAAAAAAAAAAAAACTTCAATAGGGATTACATTGACTATAGATCACTTTAGATAATAGTGCTATCTTAACATATTAAGTTTTAATGTATTATGTCTTCTAATCCATAAACATGAGATGTCTTTTCATTAATTAGGTCCTTTTCTTTTATTTTGAGACAGTCTCTCTCTCGCTCTGTTGCCAGGCTGGAGTGCAGGGGTGCAATCTCAGCTCACTGCAATCTCCGCCTCGCGGGTTCAAGCAGTTCTCCTGCCTCAGCTTCCTGAGTAGCTGGGATTATAGGTGCACGCCACCATGCCCAGCTAATTTTTGTGTTTCATCTAGGTTGGCCAGGATGGTTTTGTGTTTCATCCAGGTTGGCCAGGATGGTTTCGATCTCTTTTTGAGACAGAGTCTGGCTCTGTCGCCCGGGCTGGAGTGCAGTGGCCGGATCTCAGCTCACTGCAATCTCCGCCTCCCGGGTTTACGCCATTCTCCTGCCTCAGCCTCCCGAGTAGCTGGGACTACAGGCGCCCACCACCTCGCCCGGCTAGTTTTTTGTATTTTTTAGTAGAGACGGGGTTTCACCGTGTTCGCCAGGATGGTCTCGATCTCCTGACCTTGTGATCCGCCCGCCTCGGCCTCCCAAAGTGCTGGGATTATAGGTGTGAGCCACTGCACCTGGCCTTAATTAGGTCTTTAATTTCTTTCAGTAATGTTTTATAGTTTTCAGTGGACAAACCTTTCACTTCCTTAGTTAAATTTATTCCTAGGTATAGGTATTGTATTCTTTAGGATGCTACTGAAAGTGGAATTATTTTTCTTACTTTCATTTTAGGATTTTTTAATCGCTGGTGGATAGAAACACAGCTGATTTGTGAGTGTTGATCTTATACCCTGCAACTTTGCTGAATTCATTTATTAATTCTAATATGTTTTCTTTATGGATTATTTGGATTTTCTGTCTTTAGGATCACTTCATCTGTGAATAGGGATGTAGTAGCCTCCCTCATCAGCAGAAGATATGTTCCACGACCCCCAGTAGGTGCCTGAAACTGTGGATAGTACTCAACCTTATATATACTTTTTTTTCCTGTACATATGTATCTGTGGTAAAGTTTAATTTATAAATTAGGCACAGTTTAAAAAAAAAATCACTTTATCTAATTTATTATTTCCTTTAGTCATTAAGATCTGTAATCTTTTTTGTCTGCTTACTGATGAAATTCTTTACTTTGACACTTAAAAGTTCAGAATTCTGTTATTCAATGGGGAGTAAATATGAAAGTCATCATGTCAAAACTAGATCAAGTGTTCCCCAAAATGTTTTGTTTTTTTTAAATTTATTTATTTATTTTTTTTTAAAGACATAGTCTCATGTCATCACCCAGATTGGAATGCAGTGGCGTGATCTCGGCTCACTGTAACCTCCACCTCCCAGGTTCAAGCGATTCTCATGCCTCAGCCTCCCAAGTAGCTTGGACTACAGGTGCGTGCCACTACACCTGGATAATTTTTGTATTTTTAGTAGAGACGAGGTTTCACCCTGTTGGCCAGGCTGGTCTCGAACTCCTGATCTCAAGTGATCCGCCTGCCTCGACATCCCAAAGTGCTGCTGAGATTATAGGCATGAGCCACCATGCTTGGCCCCAAAATTTTTTTTCCATAAAAAAATCTAGAGAACCTATCATAAAGGTAGAGACTAATGACCAAAAAAAGTCAATCAATAAAAATGACTTATTTTGTTTTCTTTAATCACCTCATCCCAGTGAAATTTGAAGGTGCCATGGAGCAGAGGAAAAGAAAGCCTCAGCTTCTTTAGCCTCTGCATCTGGCTTGAGAACATTCCAACTCTCCTTTTTAAACTCCTTGGACATAGTAAAATTGAATAAATGTGGGTTAAGTCATACTTGGTTTCATTGCTCCTGTTGAAAAGCTCTACCTTTCCCCTCCCTACCTTCAGCTCTAGCTTCTGAGACTCTATAGGTGATTTTTTCTTCAGTCTATTGTGTATGAAGAACTCTTATCAGTAATTTTGTACATTTTTACTTCCTTATAGGGTCCAAGTTAAAAAAGAGAAGGAAGCGTAGAAAGATTTTTTTTTAAGTTGATTTTTTTTCTTCTTTGGTTTTTTTTTTTTTTTTTTTTTTGCTGTCAACAGCTTTTTAAAAATTAGACTTTAAAGATTTTTAAAGACTTTAAAGGTTCAAGTCCCTGCTGTAGAGACAGACACCACTGTTACCTCTCACCCAGATTATACCAACAGCCTCCTAACTGGTCTCCCTGTTTTCAGCTTGCTCTCTTAAAATTTAATCTCTACATAGCAGCTTTACTTAAAACCCTGCAGTGGCTCCCCATTTGATTAACAGTAGAAGCCAGATTTCTTATGGTGGCCTCCCAGGCTCTACTTGATCTGGCCATGCATTACCTCCCTAACCTCTTCTACTTGCTCTCTCTACTATGACCACAGCTAGCTAGCCTCCTTGCCAGTCATACTTGGTGATCAGATACTTTGTTCACTGATTCCCCTGCCTAGTATATACTATTCCCACAGATAATCTGCTTGGCAAGTATACTCACGTCACCTCCATTCCGTCTTGCCTCAGTCTCAACTTCTCAATAAAGCCTATGCTGACTATCTTCTATTTAATACTGTAACCTGTCCCATTTACACTCTGAAACTCGACCCTATTTTTATTTCTGTTTTAATTAAGATAGGCTTGTTTATACTGTGGCAATGACTTAATCCCCAAATTGCAATGACTTAACACAACAAAATCTTGTATCTTGGCCAGGAGTGGTGGCTCATGCCTCTCATCTCAGCATTGTGGGAGGCCAAGGCAGGTGAATCGCTTGAGCCCGGGAGTTTAAGACCAGTCATGGGCAACATGGTGAGACCCTGTCTCTGCAAAATATTAAAAAAAAAAAAAATTAGCTGGATGTGGTGGCACACCTCTAGTCCCAGCTACTCTGTAGGCTGAGGTAGGAGGGTCGCTTGAGTCTGAGTGGTGGAGGTTGCAGTGAGCCAAGATCACACCACTGCACTCCAGCCTGGGCAACAGAGCGAGACCCTGTCTCGGAAAAAAAAAAAGGTTCTTGTGTTACAAATCCATTATGAGTTGGCAAACAGCTTTGTCCACTTTGACCCACAAGGACGTAGGCTGATGGAAGCTTGCCCATCTTGTGATGCATCTCAACCTGTGGTTTCCCAGGGTCACATCTATAGGAAAGAGAAAGTTCAAAGGAAGATTGACAGTGGCGTAAGTCACTTATACATATTTACATATCATATCATTTGCATACTTTTGTGTTTATTATTTAGTGCCTCCTCTAGCAAGAGTAAAAACTTACGCTCCCAGAAAAGAATATAATTATTCTCCCAAGGAATATTTAGAATGTAAAATTAGCAAAACTTGATTATTGGTTGAATGCAATGGCTAAGGAAAGAATTCGGGATAATTCATGTTTCTCATTTGGATTACATGGTTTTTGGTGTTTCCAAATGAAATAGGGAATATCAGAGGAGGAACAAGTGTGGGTGATAGGACATGAGTTTGGTTTGAGGTGTAAATGGGTTTACCGCCATAGGGACCTCAAGGTGGAGATAATGTGCAGAGTTGGATATATGCTTCTTAAACCCAGGGAAATGGGTAGGTCTTCAGCATGCCTAGTAATAGTTAAAAAATAAGAAAGGGGGCCAGGTGCATTGGCTCTCTGCGCCTGTAATCTCAGCATTTTGCGAGGCCAAGGTGTGTGGATCGCTTGAACTCAGGAGTTTGAGATCCCATCTGTAGTCCTAGCTGCTTGGGAGCCTGAGGCAGGAGGATTGCTTAAGCCTGGGAGGTTGAGGCTGCAGTGAGCCATGATTGTGCTGCTGAACATCAACCTTGGTGACAGAGTAAGACCCTGTCTCAAAAAAAAAAAAAAAAAAAAAGAAGAAAGAAAAAGGTAAGACTGTCAGTAACTACTAAGGACAGAATCCTTCTTTATACTAATGTTTAAAGAACAAAAAGAGGAAGATACGCTGTTGTGTGTGGGAAATGCAACAAAAAAATGGTGAAAGGGGAACCAGGAGAGTATGAAGCTATGACTATCAAGGATATTTAGAGTTTCAAGGAGAAAGTGAGGGACCACGTTAAATGTAGTAGATATGTAAACAACAACAACAACAACAACAAAACAACTCTGCCTGTAGTTCCAGCTACTCAGGAGGCCAAGGCAGGAGGATCACTTAGGTCCAGGAGTTGAAGGTGGTAGTACGCTATTATCACACCTGGGAATAGCCTTAGTACTCCAACCTGGGCAACATAGACCCTGTCTCTCTAAAAAACAAAAAAAAACAAAACAAACCACCAAACAACAACAATTGTGTACTAAATATTTTCTACTCTTGTTACAAGCTTACTTAACTCCTTTGCTCCTTTATTTCAACCCAACTTCCCTAACCACCTTGGCTTCAGTTTCATTGAGAAATTTGAAGTCATCAGGCATAAACGGCCCCAAATGTGCCCTCCCTTCTTCCCTTTACAAACTTACCACCATGCCCATCCATCCTTTCCTCTTTCCCTCCAATCTCAGGACATTTCACAGCCAACTCTTCCACTAGTGCCATTGATACCAAGAATTGTCTACACTTTCTGTTTATGCTTTTTCCCTTTTATGATTTCTGTTCCTAGTATTCCACAAAAATTTTTCTCAGTAAGGGGACTATTTGAAATTTTAGTCGATGGGCGAAAGTGAAAAGCTAAGTACAAAATGTTGAATACTGAATACAAGGTAGGGGAATTGCAATATAAATTGCAGATAGCAGTCACTGATGAAGTGAGAGGGAGATAATGCCAATCCTCCTCCCCAGACAACTGAAGACATTTACATGGACCAGATTCAGGTACTATTCCAGAGGCCCTTTCATTTTGGAGGCCATATTGAAAGTATGTCTCTTACCTGTCCTCCTTCTATACCATGCCAGTGATTGAATCTTCATTGTAGAAGCAGAAATGAGCCAGTTCCCACAGTAAAGAATGTAGACACATGAGATTTCATTCATCTGTGCAAAAGTATTTCTTGAATGTCTGCTATGTGCCATACTCAGGGTTAGGTGCTGGGAATATAATGGGGAGTAAAAACACAAATTTCTTGTTTTAGTGGAGTTTACAGAATAGTGATTTGATTTGTCTTTTATTTGTTTATATCTAACTTAAACTTGTTTAACGGATTTTCCTTTTTTTCCCCTTTAGTATCCTCTTATATATGGACTGATTCTTATTCCCTGCTGGTGTTCTCTAGTTTGCCTAAGTAGAATTTACATGGGAATGCACTCCATTCTGGTAAGGAAAATGTTGTCTTCTTAATACTTTATTTTTTATGACATTGACAGTCAATTTTATAATTTTTAATCATTTGCAAACTTACCTGGAGCCTAAATGAGAAAATATTGTAAGTCTTCTGACTTTGTTCTGTGAAAATATCAACATGATGGTTTATGAAGTATTAATGTGGTAGTCACATATTTCATAGAAACAGTTTCCAGCAATCACAATAGCCAAGTATAATAATCAAAATAAAATTTCTTCCTCCTTCCAGTCTCACTTTTATTTTCCTTCGCAGTCTTTTCTGTGTCTCTCCTATCACTGAGTCAAAACCAGCAATGTGACTACAGAAACCAAGGAGAGCTCCTAAGTATTGTTGAAGAAGCAGTAACTAGAAACTATGTGAACTTAAACTTTCCAGGTGCCATTTGTATTTACATATTAAACTCTGCTTTTCTTTCCCATCAGTATGTTAGGACTCACAGTGGACATTGTGTTTTGAGAATGCAATTCGGTTCCCAAAGCAGCAGCACAGGGACCCTGTACTATTTGCAGCCACACCCATTCACTTTTCTTCCTCTCTGTCCCTACTGACACCCCCTTAGCTCTGGCCTGCAACATATCTGACCAGATTACTGTGATAGCATCTTAATTAGTAGCCAGCTTCCAGTGTAACACTGCTCCACCAGTATTCAGTCTGTTTAATAGACTTTCCAAAACACAAATATCATTCCATACTGAATTATTAGGTTTCCTCCAATGCAGAGGGTTTCTTACCTCCATAATTTTACAAATGCTATAACATTTACTTGGAATGTCCTTTTCACTTTCTTACCTTAACTATCCCATTCATTCTTCAAGACTCACTATAGATGTTCTTAACCCCTCAAAGCCTTATTACCTTCCCCATCTTCTCTTTCTCAAGACTTGTGAGGTGACCCTTCCCCACTTATCCTAAATTGCAATTGCTTTTTTCCTTATCTGTCAAGTATACTAGACTCCAAGTTCCTTGAGAACAGCAACTGTGTGTTTTAACTCTACCTTTAGCATCCAACATGGTGTCTCATGAGGCATCTATGAATGAATTATGTATTATCATGGAGATAAAGGATCAGAAAAAGAGGTGGAGGAATTCATGGAATTCTAGTTTCTAATGGGTCATATCAGTTTTTTTCTTGTCTGTAACAACTTAAGATTTTTAGAATTTTTTTGTCATATTATTTCATTTGCTTATTTCATAGCTATAGAAATGTTGGTTTCTATTTCTCAAATTTCTTGTTTCCAGCACCTGCTCCTTCACAGATAAATTTCTAGAAGTCTCAAATACTATTTTATTTTGTTGGGACGCAGGGTGTGCTGTAATTTTTGGGTTGGTCATTGTTTCTAGGTTTTTTAAATTTTAATTTTAGATTCAAGGGGTACATAAGCAGATTTGTTTGCAAAGGTATATTGTGTGGTGCCAAGATTTGGGCTTCTATTGATCCTATGACCCAGATGGTGAACATAGTACCCAACAGGAAGTTTTTCAGCCCTTTCCTCCCGCTCTCCCTCCTTTTGGAGTCCCTACCAAACACTTTTTTTTCTTTTAGAAGCAGAGTCTTGCTCTGTCGCCCAGGCTGGAGGGCAGTGACGCAATCTCGGCTCACTGCAGCTGTCTCCCAGGTTCAAGCGATTCTTGTGCCTCAACCTCCTGAGTAGCTGGGATTACAGGCATGTGCCACCATACCTGGCTAATTTTTGTATTTTTAGTAGAGATGGGGTTTCACCATGTTGGCCAGGCTGGTCTCGAACTCCTGACCTCAAGTGATCCGCCCGCCTCAGCCTCCCAAAGTGCTGGGATTATAGATGTAAGCCACTGCACCCAGCTCTAAACACTATTTTAATAAACAAACTATTTGTGTTGGACTTTTTGTAATTATTTGTATTTAATATGAATTGTGAATTTACATACAATTCTTTCTTACTGATCTCACCTAGTTTTATAATCAGATTAAGTATCATGTTTTTAAGTAAAATCAAATACTTGTTGCAAGAAAATGTTTTCTATCTTCTGTGTCTTGTTAGAGTTATTCTGTTCTACCCCTAAAGCTAGCATCACTACTTCTAAAAAAAACTACCAAATGGTTATGCATCTTTAGTGATAAAAAGTGATTTCCTGATATTTCTTGGAGAAAAAGATATTAGATAATATCCCTTGACTCTTTGTCATCATATAAGGAAGAACAAGAATCTATGTGATTACATTGAGTATATAATCTCAAAGATACTGGTTTTGTTTGTTTGTTTTTGAAATGGCATCTTGCTCTGTCACCCAGGCTGAAATGCAGAGGTGTGATCTCAGCTCACTGCACCTTCCATCTCTTGAGTTCAAGAGATTCTTCCAAGTAGCTGAGATTACAGGTGCACGCCACCGTGCCCTGCTAATTTTTGTATTTTTAGTAGAAACGGGGTTTCACCATGTTGGCCAGGCTGGTCTTGAACTCCTGACCTCAAGTGATCCGCC